ATTAATATAAACGTCTAGAATGTTCTGGAATATGAATGTACAAATACTAAATAAAATGAACTACAGTTCCTCACAATTACCATTCTTGATGCTGTATAAAGACATTTCATAGCATTATAAACTTTTAATTTTTAGATGATGTTTATTTGAACTGACATGTTTCTTTTGATATATGTCATTCCACTTGAGCTAAGGTGACATGAACATTCAAAATAAAGTGTGCAATAAAAAACACAARGTATGAAATAACAGCATGCCAAACTAAAATGGAAAATACCATTTCAAAATGAAAACTTTTGATGTACAGACAGTCCTTTGCAGTCTCTGGACCTTCCTGGTTGCAGTGGTTGGCTACAAATCAGGGGCTGTATATTAGTCACTTATTATGACAGGTCGTGTTTGGCAAGGCTACTAAACGTCATTATCTGATTSGCTGACAGTTAGGGACTGTCTCTAAATCAAAKGTTTTGAAAWGGCACAATGTTAAAACAACCAATTTGCATGTACTCGTTGACAATCAATGTGATAAAAAGACTAATAAACTTCATAAGGCACAAATAATATGGTTGTATAGCCAAACGCTTTTCTTGATATAGTAAACCATATGATGGAGTAAGTAATGTATGAATGTAACTCGTATATATGATTAACATATAAACCAAGCAATGTCACTGGTGAAGTCCTAACTGTCAAAATGTTCTTTTTTTAAGTTTATTAGTCTTACTTTCATATGTATGTATAACCCTAAACTCTTGCATTTACAAAAGCACATGCTGATATGTACACATCAATTCCAAACCCTTCATCATGTTGAAGTGGGGGCACTCTTTGCTGCAGTTCCAAAAAGTCAGCATTACKTAATGGGTTGGATATCTCAGGTATCTCAAGTCCCAGATCATCATCTCCAGACAATGGGCCATCTGGGTCAATCCCAAACTCATTCAAATTCTGCTGAAATTTACAAATGATAGTCACAATCATCAGCCTTTTTTGTAATGATTTGGTAATAAAGATATATTGTTGTTTGTTSATCTTGTCAAAGGTGCAGTTAGGTGTTATATATCTAAACTATTATATATTCTGCTAAGTTTAAGTGTGCGCAGTGAACTTCTACTTGGCCACTGACCTAGCCCAAATAAAAAGTACACAAAATTAATGAATTGCCTTAAGGGTGAACAACGTATATTGTGTTTGTAAAAATATTTCACTCTTACCAATCAAGAAAATAATTTGTTTATTATTGACTGCAAACGCACAAAGCACTTTTSTCTTGCTCTACATATCTCGGTGTGTTTACTGTTTTCCTGTGTTAGCTGGTGGGACGCGGGGGAATAAGGAAAAAAAATCATATCATTAGCTTTCAGTCCCTGGGTGTCCTACCATAAACTAACACAGGAAACCTGCATATAGGAAAAGGAAATCCGATCCGGAAAAAGAAATGTAGTTRTTTACAGAGGAGGCTAGACAATAGCGCTGTTTTATGTTTCTTAAATATAATTAAGTTTTAAGATATAGAATAATTTTTACCTGCATAGCCTCTAGCTCCAAAGCATTTTCCGCATCAGGATGCCTGGATAAATCCATCAGTCCTCTTATCCAAAGTTGATTAGGTGTTTTGTTTCTTGTTGTTCTTATTGMGYGATTGTCCCATCCACTTGCAAAATTTCCCAGATGCTGATTTATTYTAGGTATAAACACATAGTGCAAGCAAAACATGTTTGCCTCATTGCTTAAATCTAAATAGCCTGATTCTTCTAAAAAGTAAAAGACGGAGTAGTAAATGTAGAGACAGCCAACAAATACATCGCGCCAAAGCCTTTCTATCCTTTGATTATGGACGCTTGGTCCTGTAATATAGCTTCTTCTTCCCGGACCTCTAGARGGATGGTTAAACATATACTGTGCAACTCTAACGTTTTCAACACCATGGTCACCCCTCACTCTTGATGGCAATCCATGATCGCCCACTGCTTGTAAAAACAAATTTAAGACTGTGTCAGCTCTATTATTTCCAGAACATGAAAGGAACATGATCTTTCTAGAGTATCCATCAATGCATCCGTGYACAACTATCCTCCATCTGCAAAAGAAGTAAAATATTCCCTGAAATCTGCTATGTATAATTATAGCATGTTTGAACACTATTATTGTTTCTTCTACTATACACGGGCAGGCACAAATGACCCCCAAAGCAGTCATTTAAAATGTCATATATTTATTTAATAAAAATATCCATTTTTTGAAATCTTAATTTTTTTAAACCTAAATGCATAGCCTATATACTCAACGTTGAATATAATGTCAACTACAATGTACGATTAAAATCAAGTTTGTATGTGCTATTTAATTTTTATGTATAATTTACATTTCTATCAGAATTGTAACTTATAGAATGTACATACTGTACCTAATAAGCTTGTGGTTGCCATCATTGTGCCAAAGTGACAGTGGTGCTCTTACATTATATGACCTTCTTTGTGTAACACGCAGTTGAAGAGCTCTAACTAATATTCCCTCTGGATCAGCCCTTCTCATGGCTTCTCTCACTCTATGCTCTTGAATTTTCAATCCCCTTGACAACAGTTTTCCTCGCATACTTTTGTATCCAGAGTTGGGAAATTCATCTAATATGGATCTTATGGCCATATCAAGATCTGTGTCGGTAATATCTGAATATGAACCACGAACAGACAAACCAAATTGCTTTAGCCTTCGTTGTATCGTTTTTTGGGATACGCACAGCATTTCGGCTATATCAACTGCCTTGAAACCAAAGTCCAGGAAATGCTCGATTTGATCTTTACTTATATTATATTGTGGTCTTCCTTTTAAACCGGTTGATATGAGAGGAGTAGAGTTCTCTCGATTGCAATTATATATATCTCCATCGAGTGCTGCGAGCATCTGTTGAGCAGTTTGTAAGCCTMMTGAAAGAGATGTTTCGAGGTTTCCTCCGAGCCTCAACAACAAAGATGACAGCCATTCAATTCGATATCTCGCGTAGTCGATCATGTTATTGTTTGTGTTAGGACTCTCCAGTTGATTTATCACGTCACTTAGGATCGTCGTCATATTTAAAACAATTAAATAATCATGAGGAGACTGATGCTGTCCTTCCTGTTGCGAAGCCATAATTTGAAATGTGAAAAAAAGGATGCTGAATGTCCGGGTGTCATTCTCTCGATCCACGAGCCTTCGTTCTTCTTGGCCAGCCGAGTTACCACAGGAAACCCATCCCAATGAACCGCATTTTTAAATCCAATAATGGCTTACGATCAAATTGAATGCCGCTTCCTAAGAGGTACGGTTACGTTTTCAATCTAATAATTGAGTTACGATCAAATTGCATTGAGTTNCTTCGCCGAAGGCAGATAAATATTCTATCTCGCTCGTCCCACCGTCGGAAGGCCAGACACAGCTCACCTTCGAGCCAACACATACGCCGAAGAAAATCGGTTCCATTGATAAGTGGTTGTCTGCTTTTCATATTTTTGTGGCGGTGTATAGCGTGAAGTGTCCAAATGACACCCCGCACTTAATGAAATATTGTGAAACCGTACGCGATATCGCCACACGTGGAGGCGACTGGCTCTATTATGATGAGCAGTTTCGGTTCCTGGGGCAAGCTGAACCAAATTCGCACCCATGGGACATRGTTCACTGGGAATTGTGGCATCGAGCTGTGACCTTTCGTCCTAAATCTCAGAATTKTCATGCCGAAAAGRCCACTTTTYGTCCMAAAAGCAAGAATTCGCTGCCTTTCAGTCAAGTTCTAAACAGTCCTCCAGCGACGCCTATTAAAGTCGAAGCTCTGAAATCTTACTTAWCTAAATATGACCTTAACATTATGCAGTATCTTCTAGAAGGATTCGCTAAGGGTTTTAAAATTCACTATAAGGGCGACCGAAATTCGCGCATTTCTGTAAATTTATCCAGTGCAAAAGAACAACCGGGTGTCATGTCTCAAAACTTGCGAAAGAATTGTCAGAAGGGCGCATTGCCGGTCCGTTTTCACTACCGCCATTTGCTGATTTTATAGCGTCTCCCTTGTGAATAGTCCCAAAGAAAACTCAGGGTCAATTCCGTTTAATCCATAATCTTTCTTACCCCGAAGGGGGCTCCATTAATGATTACATTCCTAGTGAGAAATCTAGCGTTCATTACGCTTCAATCAGTGATGCAATTTCTAAAATAAAACAAATCGGCTCCGGTTGTTTCATGGCAAAAACGGATATCAAATCAGCCTTTCGAATAATTCCTATGCACCCCGATGATTTTACCCTATTGGCCATGAAATGGAATAATAATAATAATGGAAACTTTATTTGTTTATAGATTCATACAGTTGAAAATCTCACTACGTATAGGCAATTTACAACTGGCTACTTGAATTGATAAAAAAATATATATATATATATATGATATATGTATATAAATGAATTTACAAATACTGAAATCAAACTAAAACAAACAAACATTAATTTAAAAAAATGTTAGTATTTCAATAATTCAGGGCTATCCCATGTCTTATTTCTACAACAAAAAATATAGTAGGTTGTTCTAATAGCAAGATTGATCATTTTCCTTATAATATAGCGACGTTGTGTTTTGTCCATTCCAATGTCATTTAACATGTCCAGAAAGGTGGAGCATTCATTTGAGAAAATGCCCAGAGAACTCATAGATAGGTTAATAAATTTAACTCGCGTATAATTGCTGTTCAGCTCGTTAATCAAGACCTTGTATTTTTCCTTTTTCCGTATTGCGTTTTTGCAAAGGTTAGACTCAAAACCAACTGTTAGTTCTAGGACATACAGACATTTGGAGTGTATAAGCAAAAGCAGATCAGGTCGGAACGTGTCACCAGTTATAATTGAAGGACTCCGGAAACCATTTACGTCAGCATACAGTGAAGAGCGATCATTTATTTCAGGTTTAAGCGATGTGGCAATGAAGTTGAGAACTGAGTCATGTCTCCAGGTAAACCGTTCAAGGTAGTGCTGGCAACCAGCGACAACGTGGAGAAGTGATTCAGG